TAGGACAGGGAGCGTAGGGTAATGGGTAATAGCACCGGCCTGGGAGTAATGAGATTCAGGTTTTATTCCTAGCTGTGCTGATCACCAGCTGCACACAGGAAAGTCACATCAGCATTCTGATCCTCAGTTTTCCTTCTCACCCTCTGTCTGTCTTGCCTGTTTAGATTGGGAGCTCTTTACTAGGTAATTGTGCAGCTCCTAGCACTATGAGACTTGAGCTCAGTTGAGTCCTTTAGGCATTACTGTAATAAAACAATAAATAATACTCTAAGTGGTGCACTTGGGATAAATTAGCAATGAATTTGCTGAGATGTGTTAGTAAAGCTTCCTTATTTCAGGGCATTTCCATCTGTACATTTGCTTATGAGCTTGTTTTGTTTTTGTTTCTTGGTGTGTTCACTTGAACTCTGTTGTCACCAAGGACAGGTCTACACTACGGGGTTAAGTCGACCTAAGTTATGCAATTCCAGCTACGTTATTCACTTGGCTGGAGTCGACGTAGCTTAGGTCAACTTATTGCGGTGTCTACATTGCACTGGGTTGACGGGAGAAACTCCCATCGACTTACCTTATGCTTCTCATTCTGGTGGAGTACTGGAGTTGATGGGACAGTGATCTGCAGTCGATTTAGCGGGTCTTCAATAGACCCGCTAAATCGACCCCCGGTGGATCAATCGCCACAGTGTCAATCCATGGTAAATGTAGACATACTCTAAGTGTGTCCCCACATAACTGACTTCATTCAGGTCAATCTGGTATTTTGATTCCATTCAGTGTCAGGTCCTTTCGTTTGGTGTCACAGAACACAACACAACTCCTAATTGTGTTGTTGATCATTCCCATCACAAATCAGCAGATCATCTATAATTATATCCATCCCAGCCAGGTCTCCGAAGATCCAGGATTTGATGCTTAGGTCCACCTCAAGTGCTGAGGCCATCCTAAAAGGAAGATACTTAAGTGTATTGACAAAAAGGGGAGTTAGTGTAGTGTGAAAACCTGGCCTGTTTGAAGTCAGTGCTGACACAACCCTTGGCTTGAATCCGGAGATGCAAACACGTTGGTGTCTTGAGGTTTAGATGTGACTTCCTCAGCTGTTCTCATGGGGTAGTGCAAATATTTGAGGACTTCATTCAAATCTCTTGAATCTATACAAACCCTTAACTCATTTGCTTTTATTATGGTAGCGATGGTAGCTATTCCAAGATGATACCTGAATTCACACAATAATATCCAATTTACCAATCAGTTCAGTTCAGCTTTTACTTGCTCTCTCAGTACTTGTCGGACTCTCTCTATTACATATGAGGCATGTTGGAATATGCTGTGATACAGTGGAAAGGTTTTTAACTAAGCTTGTTTTGGAGCCAGGAGTCCATCCCAGTCTCATATTATTTAAAACCTTTTATGGAACTCCACACTATGGAATTCCACAGGCATATTTCTAACACCACCTCCTAACTCGTAGTCATTATGAATTCACAGTTCATCGTAAATCCATCATTTGTTGAATGGTACAGAATTACTGTCGTGTCTGTGCCCATAGCCTGGTATCCAGGCAGTTATCTATTGCTCTACTAGTTGTCCTTGAAAATCCATTAACTTTTTCCTCTCTTGCTGCACCATCCAGTAACTGTCCCAAATAACAAGTACCTCCCAGTGATATATTGTAACAGAGTAAAATTTATAAAACAAGGGAAAGCACAATTATGCTTAGATAAGTACTACAGAGAGCATTGTTGGGGCCCATTTGTTGTTTCATTTTCTGCTTACTCAGTGTGCCCTGGTTGTATGTCCTATAAAGTGTGTCAGATGTATAGCAAGATACTTATCCCCTTATAGGCCCCAATTCAGCAAAGGATATAAGCATACGTTTACTTTCAAGTATGTGCTTAAATCCATCCTTATTCAGCTAAGCACTTAACCATGATATATGCTTAAGTGCTCAGCGTGCCTAAATTAAGGCCACAGATTGTTTGTAGTTTGGCTTTTGAGGTCATAGAGTTAGATTTCCACTGGGTAGTAGAAATTACATCATCATATGAATAATACTTAGGTTCTGTTGGGTTTTAAAATCTTTGTAAACATACAAAAGACCGGGAGGCCAATTGTGGACTCCCAGGCTATTTAAAAGGGTATCCTATACACTACAGAGTGTAATTAGGCCTTAATGAGCACTGTTTCTTTTTTTGTGTGGATAAACTAAGTTTGGAAAATTACCATTTACAAATTAAAAAGTTATAAATGCTTGAACATTCTACTTCTACAGCTGTGTAGTCAAAACATACATACCTATTTAGCTCCAGGATTAAAACTCCAGCATTGCAAAACTACACTTACGTAACTAATTCCCAGTTCTGCACCATTGCTTACATGAATAATTCTTACTTCTCATGCAAGTCTTTTTAGTGGCTGTGAGACTTCTCTCACTCCTCTGAGTAAATTATATTATTCTGCAGTAAGCAGTCCTGCACGATAACTGAATTTAGTGGAAATATTGTACTGCACATGTGCAATGCTGACTTTTTTTCCAAAAGCTTATAGCATGAGTAGGAAAACCCACTGTTCACAAATCTATCCACGGAAAAAGAGGCCTTCTTAAGCGGAGTAATATCCATCTTTTCGCCAACCCCTTGGAAAATCTTCCATATAAACTATGCATGGCTGGAGCTCCTCGGGGCATGGGGATATAGTTGGGTGTAAATGGTGCAGAACTGTAGAAGAGAAGTGGGCAAATCAGTAGTTTTCGGCATTCATTTCTATGCATTCACACTGCCTTGGAGGAGAGTTTGGAGTAAGCTGCAGACAGGGATGCACTGGTGGTATGGACTTGTGGAAGCCATGCTTTCACATGGCATGCTCTACCCAGGGTACGTTAGAAGGTTCGGCCTTCCTGGTGAACACTTCAATCTTCTGCAGATGCTTTGAGGTCCATGAGCTATCCCTACAGGGCTAAGGGCCATCACCATGCTAGAGAGCCATGAAATTCATACTGCTATTTTTTGTCAGTTTTCCAAAGGAACCAGATTCACATTTGCTTGCAAGAGCATTGACATTCCTTCTGGGTTACACCCAGATATTTTAGTAAACAACCCCTTCACTTTAAACAACCTCATGGGTGTCACACATTTTGGAAGGACACTATCCTTTATTGTTCACATAATACGTGGCCCTGATGAGTCATAAATCATTCATAGCTATGAAGAAATGTATTCCTCATAAGTGACAGAAATAAGTTGGCAGACAATGTTCCTCCCTGGAAATGGGCCAGGAAAAGTATTAAGAAAACGGAACCAAAACAGTAAAATACCTGTTATGGGCATACAACCCAGGACTGCTTGACACAGACCCCTGGTCTACTCTACAAGAATAGCGTAGCTGAAGTTGACGTATCTTAGATTGAATTAAAATTGCTTACTTCGGGTCCTCGCGGTGCGGGATCGACGGCCGCAGCTCCCCCGTCGACTTTGCTTCCGCCTCTCGCACTGCTGAAGTTCAGCAGTCGACGGGAGAGCGATCGGGGAACGATTTATCGTGTCTACACTACACACGATAAATCGATCCCCGATAGATCGATCGCTACCCGCTGATCCGGGCAGGTAGTGTAGACGTACCCTTAGGCTATGTCTACACCTGGTGTTCAGGGTCTGACTCCCAGCTTGAAGAAGGTACTCACACTAGCTTGATGAGAGCTAGTGTGATAAAAATAGTAGTGTCACTGAGGTAGCATGGGCAGTGATGAGCAGCTGTATGCGCTAGCTGCCTCGACTACAAAGTCACCCAGACCCCGTGGGTACATACTCAGGTCAGACGCTCTGTGCTGCTGCTCACTGCTACCATAGCTACGCTATTTTATCACACTATATTGATGACAGCTAGCATAAGCCATTATACCTCCAGCTCCAGGTATAGACATAGCCTCGGTCCTGCCTGATTAGGCTGGGTCGACGATACGGTGGTGTTTCGGAATTCACCAGTGTGGTAATGGCTGCCATGGTATTTCAGTGTGAAATTTTGAATGCTGGAAAAAATCATGAGACTATGAGGTCCCCATTACCATACCAGTTGGTCAACAATTCTGTGTGAACTTTTCTAGAAATGTTTTCAGTCAGCTCCAATCCAAATCTTGTGACCTTATGTACTTATCACTTCAAATAGTAGCTTCGACACAGTGAGACAACCTTAATTACGTTGCTACAAGGGAGGCTGCTAAAATAATGACACCATTGTTCGCTTGCAAACCAGTCAACAGGAAGAAAAGGCCTATAAAAGGAAGTGCTCGGGTCAGCTGCTGATGTAAGGGGGGATATGCAGAGATGACAGGCTGTTTGGCATAGGACAGCAAAACACAGTGTGATGTTGCTCTGCTTAATTAAACCAAACAGATAAGGACAGAAAAGTCCTAGGTAATAATGGACTTGGAGCTGGTGTGTTCTTCCTTTTTACAATGCCTTTTGCATCTAGAGTTTACATACAGCATAGTTCCTTTTCCCAGCAGTATCTTTATTGTGTCCTGTGACAGGATACTGTCTGGGTATCAGTAGTCATTGTTCTAGGTTATGAATCTCAAAACTAGTGCTGGATTTATCATTAAAAGGCTATAGAAGAGAGCAGGGGTGTGTGGGTTTTTTTAAATTTTGTCCCAAACTAAACCAAATTATAGCTTACTGTATCCATCAAGTAATGAGCACATGTTGCATAAGTAAACTGGTTGGAATGCACTAAAGTGTAATGCCTGAAGGAAAGATGCTGGATTAATAGAAATAAGTCTAGAATTTACCTGGAGTACCCACAACTGTAGGGAAAAAGGTGTTGCACACAAAATCCATGGCTTTGAATTGACAAACAAGTGAAAATGTATGATTAGTTTAAAGCAACCCAACCCTGCTCATGTCTTTTGGGTAGTGTTCCCTATCATCCGGAGTAGCAATATCCTCTAATGATGATGGTGTGTGTTTTGTTAAACATTTGTCAATGTATTGCATACTTCTCTTTTATAGAAAATTTCATCCAACTATCCTGAAGGCTTTTACAAACAAGCATTAATTAGACATGACCACACCCTAGAAAGTAAGTATTTCTCCACTTTAATGGTGTAACCCAGGAACTTATTTGTGCCAATTGGCAGAGGGCACAGGGAAGCATAGAGTTTTACAGGACTCTCTGGGTGAAGTTTATGGACAATAATTCACCAAACGGTGGCTCTATTGAAAGCCAGTAGCCCACTGGTTATCATAATCACGGCAAACTATTGCATGGATAACATTTAAGAAGCTATGTATTTACACTGGAAATTTTGTTCTTAAAGCCTTAATGTTAAAGGCAGGTCACCGGAGGTGATGGGCTTCAGCCAGGCTCTCTTCAGGCAGGAGGAGGTAGATGCTTATCTATGCCTGCTCATTGTGTATTTGGTGCTTCATAATGTTAGTCTATTTGCATCCTGAGCCACCAGCTAATCAAGATTGCAAAATCAATTGCAAGATCACAAAATCTATTGGCAGGCATATGTAGCAGGAGGGTACCTTGTTTTTGACTAAGATCAAAGAAGGAGAATACATGGTACATGAGGAGAATGCAAGGAGAGGCAAAGTATCCTTCACTTAGGGGACATGGCTTGTCTCATGAAAAAGGGATCACAGTCTGCCTCATTGAAAAGCATGGGTGAACAATACTTTATTACCGATGAGAGTATCTTGTTAACTCAGTCTATCCTCTAGAATGCATGTTATGATTTTATTTTATATATAACCAGTTGTTTCCAACATTTCTGCTTGCTATCGTTTGCATCTCTATACTTTATTTAATAAACTTTTACTTGTTTTCACTATAAACTTATCTAAGTGCTGTGTGTTAAGTGGAGTGGTGATCTGAGATGTAACTGGTAAGCTGGAGCATACTAATCATTTGGGAGCAGTAAATCAGTAAACACTGTGGGTGTCCCATGGAGAAGGGACGAGCACTCCAGGGCGTTACTTGAAGGGTTTGGGGGTTGGAGTGTGCCTATGGCTAATAGGCAGAGTGACAAGGGAGCCTGTATAGGCTAAGAGGTGAATACTTGTGTTGCCCATGGCAAGCTGGCCTCGGCAGGCTCAACCAAAGCTTCCTCACGCTAAGGACAGGTGGTAGCAAGGTGCCCCACAATGCTGTGTACCGCTGGGATGCAGGGGTCAGCACCACCATGTTGCGTGACAGACTCTTGACAAAATTACTGTACTTAGTGACGGATATTGTGGGGGTTATGTTATTCAGTCATTCAACATTTTTTGAAAAATTACCGCGGACCTCAAAATTTTTACCACAGACACTTGTGTCCATGTACGGACACGTTGCTGACCCCTGCTGGGATTCATCACAAGAGGTAATAATTAATCATAATAATACTTCCCAATTGTGTAGCAACCTTCACAGGAGCATTATAGAATGCTTTACAAAAGCCATTATTTTCTCAGCAGTGGTAAACCAGGCATACAGAGGTTAAGTGACTTGCCAGTGGTCACAATATGAATTAGTGAGAGAGCCAGGAATAGACCTCATAACTCCTGACTCTCAGTTTCATGCTCTAGCTATTAGGCCACACTTCCTTTTTATGCATCACTGTATGCACTAGACCCTTTACTTCCAGCCAGCCATTAGCTTGGCATCACTCAGTTGAGAGTCAAAACACATTTTTGTTCCTGTGCCACCTCACTACTTACTGTAGTAAATTAACAACTACTCTACTGGCACTACATTGATGACATCTTCATCATCTGGACCCATGGGAAGGAGGCCCTTGAGGAATTCCACAAGGATTTCAACAATTTCCACCCCGTCATTAACCTTAGCCTAGACCAGTCCACACAAGAGATCTACTTCCTGGACACTACAGTGCAAATAAGCGATGGTCAAATAAACACCACCCTATACTGGAAACCTACTGACCGCTATACTTACCTACATACCTCCAGCTTTCATTCAGACCACATCACATGATCCATTGTCTACAGCCAAGCTCTAAGATACAACCGCATTTACTTCAATCCCTCAGACAGAGACAAACACCTACAGGATCTCTACCAAGCATTCTTAAAACTACAATACCCACCTGGTAAAGTGAAGAAACAGATTGACAGAGCCAGAAGGATACCCAGATGTCACCTACTACAGGACAGGCCCAACAAATAAAGTAACAGAATGCCACTAGCCATCACCTACAGCCCCCAACTAAAACCTCTCCAGTGCATCATCAAGGATCTACAGCCTATCCTGAAGGACGATCCCTCAGTCTCACAGACCTTGGGAGACAGGCCAGTCCTTGCTTACAGACAGCCCCCCAACCTGAAGCAAATACTCACCAGCAACCACACACCACACAACAAAAACACTAACCCAGGAATCAATCCCTGCAACAAACCCCATTGCCAACTCTGTCCGTATATCTATTCAAGGGACACATCAGCCACACCATCAGGGGTTTGTTCACCTGCACATCTACCAATGTGATATACAGCGGCGGCTCCAGGCCCCGCTCTAAGCGCGTGCCTGGGGCGGCAAGCCGCAGGGGGCGCCCTGTCAGTCCCTGCAAGGGCGGCAGTCAGGCAGCCTTCGGCGGCACGCCTGTGGGAGGTCCGCTGGTCCTGCGGATTCGGCGGCAATTCGGCGGCAGGTACGCCGAAGCTGTGGGACGGGCGGACCTCCTGCAGGCATGCCGCCGAATCCACGGGACTGGCGGACCTCCTGCAGGCATGCCGCTGAAAGCCGCCTGCCTGCCGTGCTTGGGGCGGCAAAAAAGCTAGAGCCGCCCCGGTGATATATGCCATCATGTGCCAGCAATGCCCTGCTGCCATGTACATTGGCTAAACGGGACAGTCTCTACGCAAAAGAATAAATGGACACAAATCTGACATCAGGAATCCTGACATTCAAAAACCAGTAGGAGAACACTTCAGTCTCCCTGGACACTCAATAACAGACTTAAAAGTGGCAATTCTTCAACAAAAAACACTTCCAAAACAGACTCCAACATGAAACTGCAGAACTGGAATTAATTTGCAAACTGGACACCATCAAATTAGGCCTGAATAAAGACTGGGAGTGGATGGGTCACTACAAAAACTAATTTCCTTCTGCTGATACTCACACCTTTTTATCAACTATTTGAAATGGGCCACCTTGATTACATTGGCCTCATTAGCACTACAAAAGTGATTTTTCCCTCCCTTGGTAGTCACTCCTTTTTGTCAACTGTTGAGAATAGGCCACTTCCACCTTAATTGAATTGGCTTGTTAGCACTGACCCCCCATTTGGTAAGGCAACTCCCATCTTTTCATGTGCTGTGTATTTATACCTGCCTATTGTGTTTTCCACTCCGTGCATCTAATGAAGTGGGTTTTAGCCCACGAAAGTTTATGCCCAAATAAATTTGTTAGTCTCTGAGGTGCCACAAGGACTCCTCATTGTTTTTGCTGATACAGACTAACACGACTACCACTCTGAAACCTACTAAATCAGTGACTCAAGTGGCTTCAGTGACTGGAACTTGGGGGAGAGAGTCATAAAAATGGGGAATGAAAGATTTCCTAAAAATAGACGAGATGATTAGAAGCAAAGTTGGATAGTCAGACTCTGATCAGGCTTTGAAAAAATCAGAGGCTTTCCTTTCCCAGTACTGCTGTTGGCTTGAAAAGGAGCGCAATGATTTGAAATAGCCAGATTTATCTTTGTTCAGCATTTTGTTGCATTCCGAGCTTCTTTGCCTGCTTTCTTTCATCTAATACTACAACTTTTGCTGGTATTCTGCATGTCGCTCTTGCTATGAAATTTCATCTAATATGTCTGAGGGGAAAAAAAAAGCTCTTTCACAAAGAAGAAAAAATAATTTGATTTAGTTTAAAATATGTTGCATGATCTGAAAAAGCATAAATATAGTTAAATGTTCACCAACCTAGTTTATTAACTGTGATGTTGAAATAATTGTCTCTCTTCTAAATGTGGTATATGATCTAACTGTAGTAATCTGAGTATCCTTCCAAAAGAAATACTTGTCTTATCCTGTATGGTGCAATATTTGATGTTAGACTTGAGTGTTTTTTCTTTTAAAGGCCGGAGGGCCAGGTTTTGATCTTACGCACCTATACATTTGAAATGATTGCATTGAAATCAGTGGAGCCATTCCAATTTATACTAGTATAAATGAGATCAGAATCTGATCCATAAAAACTATGTCACCATGCAGTGTTTATAAATACAGATTTTTTTGAGAGGTTTCTTATATTATCCCATTTCATGTAAAATGAGTATTGTTTCTCTAGAAGAGAGTCCAAAATTTTCACTATAGCTCTACCCCGATATAACGTGACCCGATATAACAGGAATTCGGATATAACGCAGTAAAGCAGTGCTCCGGGGGAGGGGGGGGCGGGGCTGCACACTCTGGCAGATCAAAGCAAGTTCGATATAACGCGATTTCACCTATAACGCAGTAAGATTTTTTGGCTCCCAAGGACAGCGTTATATCGGGGTAGAGGTGTACTTTGAAGTAAATGGGAAATCTGAGTTTTCAACATCTCTGAAAATTAGGCCACTTTTTTAGGTCTATCCACATGGATATAGGTGCCTAAATTTAAGCACACAGATCTATGTTAATATTTGTGTTGAATGTAATGAATGAGTTAAGTTATAATTAATGACCATTTTTATCATGTCTTCAGTAATACTCAGTAAAGGGATATAAGGTAAGTGAATTTTCCTGAGCTCTCCCTTCAGAGTAGTAAAATACTTTATAAATCCATATTAGCTTCAAGAAAGTTGCAATCCAAAACCCCTATCCTGTAAACACTTCTGCAATTGCATAACTTAAGAACATACATATAGCAGGATTGGGTGTTAAATATACTTGTGTATCACAGATATTTATCTGTTTGTTAATGATGACTATGCTTTAGATGAAAAGGTTGGAATTAGTCAGTACAGATATGCCATTGTGTATGTATGTTTTAGTAAAAAGTTTAATATCAACATGCTTTTAAGGTCATAAAGTTTAAAATAAAAAGCTACGGTCTGTGAGACTGTTTAATATTTTTGATCAAAC